TATATACTTCCCTTCATATAGTCTAGTAGGGTAGCTGCACGAATGCAGATGTACCTAATGTAATAATAATAATAATAATAATAATAATAATAATAATAATAATAATAATAATAATAATAATAATAATAAAACCCCTTCCTCAGACTGGGCTCGTCCAAGCGCTCGCCGACCCTAAACATGCATTCATCAATTTTAATAATATAATATAATAAATAAATAAATAAATAAATTTTAACATTTTGTATTCAAAATTGTTTTCTTTCTCTCAAATATAAATTGATATTATAATACGTTATATTCTATTTATAAATATAAAAGTTTATGTTGGTTAGGTTCGGTGTTTAATTTCTGTTGGGAATTATTTGTATTTGCAGAACGTGTGGGACAGGTTTTTATGTACTTACAGATATGATCCAGATTATTTTGTTTTAAGGTGAGATGTAACACAAGGAACACCGATTGCAAGCTCAACAAGCCGCAATGCAGGATAGAAATCAGTAGATGTTTTTTCACCCAAAGAATTATAAACCTATGGAACCGCCTACCCACCTTAGCCGAAAATGTCAAAACATTGCTGGAACAAAATCCAGATCGATAAAATCATGACAAATGTGGGGACATTTGACAAGCCGCTGGCTTTCTGCCCACCTCGTGGCTACTAAACAGTGGCCCCGGGTAAGTTTAGGTAAAAGTTTGAACGTCATCAGTTGTGAATTTTTTGTAAAAGGTATTTTATTCGTAAACAGGAGACTTGTCTGGATTAACGAGCATTTTAATTGGCTATTGTTGACAAGGCCGGACTAACAAGGCTTGATCTCATAATTTCAGTTAATACATAGAACAAAATACATGTACAGTTATGTGACTCCGTCAGAATATCGTGCGAACTGTAGCTAACAGTTGGGGAGGCACTTCTAGTCAATCATTTATATCAACATTATTGCGAATCGATCATCACCAGCACAAAAATACAAATATAATCCTTTCCTCGATATTTGGACGCAAAGAGAAATAAGCAGTTTAACTAAACTACGTCACGAAAACTACTAAATAAAACATCCGAAGTGGCGTAGTTTACAGAGGTCGAGGCCAGGAGCAGGCGACGTACTCACCTGTGTCAGCCTAATAAACTAATGCGCATTTTTAACACCAAGGTCTTGCGATCAATGGTTAGTTTTTGACCAAACCACACACTCACCAAATGGTTAGTTTTTGACCAAACCACACACTCACCAAATGGTTATTTTTTTAAGGTAATATTATTGTTTTTCTTTTGATCAGTATTTATAAGAACCACTTCGCTTTAAAGCGGGTTTGACAAGTATTTGCGCGTTATGTTGATGTTTGCCTTGATCAACAATCATATCAATATTATTCACACTACTTAAAAAGTCCCATAAACCTGTCACTCAATATTACCCAACTCACGAAGCCTCATAACTTTGCCCCCAACTACACCTAGCTCATGAAGCCTCATAACTTTGCCCCCAACTACACCTAGCTCATGAAGCCTCATAACTTTGCCCCCAACTACACCTAGCTCATGAAGCCTCATAACTTTGCCCCCAACTACACCTAGCTCATGAAGCCTCATGACTCCTTCCACCCCCCCTTTTGAATCAGCATATTAAACCTCCGCCACATAAAAATAACTCCAAGGACACGTTCAGCACAAACACACTGCTTCCCCACAAATAATTCCTTTCCTCGCGACTTGGAACAGTTTTTCTAGTGTGTGGTCTAGTCAACATATTTCAGCCACGTTATTGTGACTCTTTGTCTGCAGAACTGTTAGTGAAAAGATAAACCCGGGATATAGTAGAGTGCCTCATGATAGAGCTTAAGGTCGTGGAAGTTAACGGTAACTGTGAGTAACAAGATCCAACTGACTGGAAGTAGAGCGTCAGTCTTGGAAACAAGGGGCAAAAAAAAAAAAAAAAAAAAAAAAGTAGTGGATGTAATGGGTAAAGTCCAAGGCTGATCCTGGTGCCGGTGTTCATGGCTAGAGAACAACCTCAACAAAAAGTGCCCAGGTTGTGAGAACACTAGAACAATTTCAACATTATGTTATTCACGCTAACGGTTGTCATGGCAAGAGTTTTAATCGTAGGCTAAGATTTGTATCCTCGGTTCATTCTGAAACTTGGTGCCAGTATTGCAAACACCAAGGAACGTGCTATTCATGCCCGTGCCACCTTTTGGGTGGCTTAATCTTCATCAATCACTACCTAACATCGTAGCGCAGTATCCCGTGGTTCGGACACGCTGTAAGCTCCTCCAGCTCCATATTTCTTATTTATCTCTTAACCACGCGCCCTAACATTAGCTATAATACTGTAGCCTAATTACATAACCACCATTCTAACACAAATCTGCGCCCACTGTAAAACTGCTTTTAACAAACTCACGAGGGTATGGCTTACACAAACTACCGCTTACAGGATGAGTATGGGGTGCACAATAAACTACCGCTCACAGCATGAGTATGGGGTGCACAAACTACCGCTCACAGCATGAGTATGGGGTGCACAATAAACTACCGCTCACAGCATGAGTATGGGGTGCACAATAAACTAATGCTCACAACATGAGTATGGGGTGAACAATAAACTATCGCTCATAGCATGAGTATGGGGTGCACAATAAACTACCGCTCACAGCATGAGTATGGGGTGCACAATAAACTACCTCTCACAGGATGAGTATGGGGTGCACAATAAAACAAGCTCACATGACGAGTATGGGGTGCACAATAAACTACCGCTCACAGCATGAGTATGGGGTGCACAATAAACTACCGCTCACATGACGAGTATGGGGTGCACAATAAACTACTGCTCACAGCATGAGTATGGGGTGCACAATAAACCAGCAGCATCTGGCCGCATCAATCATAATAACAGGCTATTAAGACATAGTTATAATTTTTATAAACATAATATATAATAATAATGTTTATTCAGAAGAATGTGTGTACAAGGAACGCAAGAGTAATGTACAATTGTGGGAACACAGGCAACACATACTAATGAAGCCACTATTATACAAAGCCTTTTGGATAAAACTTAAAAAAATTATTAATCAATTACAGTATTTAAAGGTGTTAAGGGTTAAACACTTAATACTAAATGAGACGCTAACGAAATAGATGAAAGTCTTGATTCTTGAGTCTTGAACAATTCTTTTAATAATTACCTTACCTTCTCCTTAGCAGCCACTAATAAACGAGTTCATTAAAATAGAGAACGTGTAAGTATATCTAGCATGTAATGCAACACAAGACCTTATCATACGTAGAGTATCCGTAGATTTTTTTAGCACCCCGTAGCTAGCTTTTTGAGACACACTATACTTCCCTTCATATAGTCTAGTAGGGTAGCTGCACGAATGCAGATGTACCTAATGTAATAATAATAATAATAATAATAATAATAATAATAATAATAATAATAATAATAAAACCCCTTCCTCAGACTGGGCTCGTCCAAGCGCTCGCCGACCCTAAACATGCATTCATCAATTTTAATAATATAATATAATAAATAAATAAATAAATAAATTTTAACATTTTGTATTCAAAATTGTTTTCTTTCTCTCAAATATAAATTGATATTATAATACGTTATATTCTATTTATAAATATAAAAGTTTATGTTGGTTAGGTTCGGTGTTTAATTTCTGTTGGGAATTATTTGTATTTGCAGAACGTGTGGGACAGGTTTTTATGTACTTACAGATATGATCCAGATTATTTTGTTTTAAGGTGAGATGTAACACAAGGAACACCGATTGCAAGCTCAACAAGCCGCAATGCAGGATAGAAATCAGTAGATGTTTTTTCACCCAAAGAATTATAAACCTATGGAACCGCCTACCCACCTTAGCCGAAAATGTCAAAACATTGCTGGAACAAAATCCAGATCGATAAAATCATGACAAATGTGGGGACATTTGACAAGCCGCTGGCTTTCTGCCCACCTCGTGGCTACTAAACAGTGGCCCCGGGTAAGTTTAGGTAAAAGTTTGAACGTCATCAGTTGTGAATTTTTTGTAAAAGGTATTTTATTCGTAAACAGGAGACTTGTCTGGATTAACGAGCATTTTAATTGGCTATTGTTGACAAGGCCGGACTAACAAGGCTTGATCTCATAATTTCAGTTAATACATAGAACAAAATACATGTACAGTTATGTGACTCCGTCAGAATATCGTGCGAACTGTAGCTAACAGTTGGGGAGGCACTTCTAGTCAATCATTTATATCAACATTATTGCGAATCGATCATCACCAGCACAAAAATACAAATATAATCCTTTCCTCGATATTTGGACGCAAAGAGAAATAAGCAGTTTAACTAAACTACGTCACGAAAACTACTAAATAAAACATCCGAAGTGGCGTAGTTTACAGAGGTCGAGGCCAGGAGCAGGCGACGTACTCACCTGTGTCAGCCTAATAAACTAATGCGCATTTTTAACACCAAGGTCTTGCGATCAATGGTTAGTTTTTGACCAAACCACACACTCACCAAATGGTTAGTTTTTGACCAAACCACACACTCACCAAATGGTTATTTTTTTAAGGTAATATTATTGTTTTTCTTTTGATCAGTATTTATAAGAACCACTTCGCTTTAAAGCGGGTTTGACAAGTATTTGCGCGTTATGTTGATGTTTGCCTTGATCAACAATCATATCAATATTATTCACACTACTTAAAAAGTCCCATAAACCTGTCACTCAATATTACCCAACTCACGAAGCCTCATAACTTTGCCCCCAACTACACCTAGCTCATGAAGCCTCATAACTTTGCCCCCAACTACACCTAGCTCATGAAGCCTCATGACTCCTTCCACCCCCCCTTTTGAATCAGCATATTAAACCTCCGCCACATAAAAATAACTCCAAGGACACATTCAGCACAAACACACTGCTTCCCCACAAATAATTCCTTTCCTCGCGACTTGGAACAGTTTCTTGCGGCAATTGAAAAAGTAAATGGCATTGAAGGCCTCCAGCAAACAGCGAGTGAGGGACGGTGCTCAAGCAAGCAACAAGGGTCGGGACCTTCAGCAAGCATCGAGGGACGGGGCCTCTAGCAAACAGAGAGGGACAAGCCTCCAGCAAGCGGTGAGGATAGGGAGCCTCCAGCAAGCAGCGAGGGTAGGGAGCTTACTGCAAGTAGCGGGGGGTAAGGAGCCTACTGCAAGCACCAAGGATAGGGGGCCTCCAGTAAGCAGTGAGGGTAGAGAGCCTATAGCAAGCACCAAGGGTAGGGGGCCTCCAGTAAGCAGTGAGGGTAGAGAGCCTATAGCAAGCACCAAGGGTAGGGGGCCTCCAGTAAGCAGTGAGGGTAGAGAGCCTATAGCAAGCACCAAGGGTAGGGGGCCTCCAGTAAGCAGCGAGGGGTAGGTTTGGATAGTTGGAGGAGCAACGGCTTAAAGCCGTTGCTTGCGCAGAATTGAAGCCCCAGTTCAACAGCCCACCAGAAGGAACGCTCATCAAAACTAATCAACCTGTGAAGCGACTCGACATGGATTTGAAGGAGCCACTGACATCGACGACCTATACTCCTTATATGCTAACAACTTTATATAATGCCCAAATTTATCCACTTTGTTCCAGGAGCTCGAGGTACACCTTTCTCAAAAGGGTATCGTCACAAGCAGGACAACGCCATACTATCCCACAGGGAATGAATAGGTCCAACGGAACGGTATATGTGGAAGGCGCTTCATCTAACATTGAAGTCATACAATCACGCAGAACACTGATAATTGGTTCTTCCAGATGCACTGGATCATTACATCTCTTATCTACTTCAACTAATACATCCCCACACGAGCGGTTTTTAGATTTCAGCGACGCTCAACTCATGGAAAGTCATTACTATCGTGTCTTACTGAGAAAATCCGTAGGAGTCGTGATGAGGATTCGAACCCATGCGGTGGGTATTCCCACTCAAACGCCCCAGACAACAAAGAACAAGGATTGCAACCTGAAATTCTACTGAACACACGAGGGTTTCCTGAGGTTTCCCTTGAAGCTGGACCAGAATTTAATTTCGTGATTGTTACCGCCAGGAGTTTCACACAATCCCGTGTGAAAATCCCGTGGGGCGTGAGATCGAGTTCGAGTTTTGCACGTTGTGATGACCAAAGTAACAAATGCAACCAACTGTGAAAAGTAACGGACTCAAGAGGTTAGGTGATTACATCATCCTAATCTACGTTTCTGCGTAGATTAGGATGATGGATTTTTTGACGGAGTGGCAACTCCAGAGAACGGGCTGATGTGTTTACAGACCTCGCCTCACTCTCATTACCTATTGATACCTGATACCTGGTTGATGGGGTTCTGGGAGTTCTTCTACTCCCCAAGCCCGACCCGAGGCCAGACTTGACTTGTGAGAGTTTGGTCCAACAGGCTGTTGCTTGAAGCGGCCCGCATTGCTCGAGAAGTCTTGTTACCTTCTCATTACCTTACATCTGCAGCATATCTCCCACCACCCAGGAAACCTATCCACTTCCTCATCTAGCTGATTAGTCTCCACTTCTCCCGATATCTTTATCAGTTTACACCGTTTATTAACAATATAAACGGATGACTTCCCTGATTAGGTACTTTCCATATACGACGAGCAGTATAGCCCCAAGAACCGACCCTCAGGGAACTTCCCTGGTTCACTTTGGCGTTAGGGCTGGTGCTAAGTCTATGATCTTTACCTTCCCATATACTGTAACACACACAAACACACACTGTTTCCTTTACCCTGTCGGAGTGTGGCATCTGTAGGTCCTCCTGCAGTAGCCAGCACGTGTAAGGGGGACTGGAAGAAGCGGGGAGAAGTAGCGAGGTCAACCCTGGTAATCCCCTCATCCTGGGCACTACGTGATAAAAAAATATCTGCCTCACCTGCATGACTCAACAGTTCAGCATTTTTTACTTTGCTTGTTACCTTAATATAATGTAAAGTTTTCCTTCCTGACTGATGAAGATTAAGCCACCCAAGAGGTGGCACAGGCACGAATAGCCCATAATTTCCTTAATGGCGTGCGGTTGGCTTAGTGGCTAATAATTGAGGTGGTTTGTCGTTGGGCAGGGCCGGATGTGGTGGCTGAGGTGAGGAGGGCGGGGTGTCGTGGGATATGTGGGGTGTGGTATGATGGACGTTGTTCAGATGCACCGAAAGGTTTCTCTAGCTTGAGTGGGAATCTATTGTACATGGGACAGTATGAATCGAGGAATAAGCAGTCTACTCATCCCTCTCTCTCTCTCTCTCTCTCTCGTCTGATTTTGGGCATCGTATTGTAATAATCAAATGAGATTTTTTAACCAAAATTTTCGGTCACAGACTCCGTGCTGGTGTTTGTGGATAAAGTTTTCCTGTTTTAAGTGTTCTACAGGTCTACTTCGAATCAGTCTCTAGCGACTTGTTAGGAATGCTTGTAAATTGGCTCCACATTAGCCATTTGTCACTAGTCTTGAAGCCCTTTCTTTTCCAAAGAAGAATTTGAATACTATAGGAAGGGGTTTACACAGTTCTCATGCTAACTCCTTTAGTAACTATGGTGATATCTTGTGTCTGTCTACAACTCTCAACACATCTTGGTCTACATCTAGGTCTACATCTAGGTCTACATCTAGGTCTACAACAGTTTGATTACCTCTACTGGTGACACTATAATTCTGATGAGATTTTTTCTGTATGGGGGTTTGTTCAGTTTGAGCTCTTAGCCCCAATGGTAGCCCGAGTACTCCTTTAAAACTGTTTGAAAGTTTTTATTGAGCATTTCGCATACTTCGTTATCGCTTTGTGTGTGTTTCAATCTCTCTTGTTTAACTTGATCACCGAATCGCTGCCTGTACACTTCATGCAGCACACAGTGCTACATGACTAATTAAGGGAGTACATAAAGTACACATGCAAGCCGCACCAAGCAGTGCATGAAGTGCAGTGCTTGCGCCCATTATGGGCTGCTTAACGCTGTGTACCTCATGCACTGCTCGGCTCTGCATGTGCGTTTCATGCCTGAGATATCCGGCCTGAGGTGTGTGTGTGTGTGTGTGTGTGTGTGTGTGTGTGTGTGTGTGTGTGTGTGTGTGTGTGTGTGTGTGTGTCTGTGTGTCTGTGTGTCTGTGTGTCTGTGTGTCGGGGGGGGGGGGGAGGGGGTTAACGGACGGGCACAAAAAAGTTGTGACGGGTGTTTAGCGGTTATGTCCGGATAGTAGATCCTGTTAGGTCTAATTGGGTGTTCCATCGCTGGGTGTGGAGTCCTTGGGGTGTGCGTGTGTGCGTGCATTCATGCGTGTATGGAGGGGGGGTTGGGGGGGAAGGGGGTCCTGCGCGTGTTTGAACATACCCGCTCACGAGTGTGTGTTGTTATAGATCGACGCGCGCACGCACACACCTTCGATGAGCCTCAGGTCCGTTCATAAATATCAACCACATACAAGCAAGGTCAGACAAACACCTACACACACACAAACAGCTACCTGCACAAGGTAACAACCCCCCCCCCTCCCCGCCTTAATCTCCCGAACACCCCCGACAACGCTTGAGATCCTCATTATATACCTCACACTTGGCCAATGAGGGCTAATTGTAAATTTATACATCACGCAGCTTCTAAGCAAGATACCTCCTTCCAGGCAAATATCAGCAGCGAGCGCGATCTTCTCTTTATGGCGAGAATATAGCAGTTCTGCAGGTACATTTTTAGAATAAAATCGCAATAATTTAAGACATACGCGGTGTGTAAGGAGGTCAATGGTGCGAACCAAGTGCCAGAGGAATTAGCCTCAGGTTCCCTGGTCCCAGAAGCGATCCTTCTCCTGGCCCTCAGGTTCCCTGGTCCCAGATGCAATCCTTCTCCTAGCCCTCAGGTTCCCAGGTCCCAGAAGCGATCCTTCTCCTAGCCCTCAGGTTCCCAGGTCCCAGAAGCGATCCTTCTCCTGGCCCTCAGGTTCCCAGGTCCCAGAAGCGATCCATCTGTTGGCCCCTCAGATTCCCAGGTCCCAGAAACGATCCTTCTCCTGGCCTTGTGTGTGGACGAAGGATTCCTAAAGTCGGATGGAGGATGATCCCCGGGCCGGGTTCCCGCCAACACTGGGTGCCGCAAGGTCGCTACACGTCCGCTATGACCGGGCGAGACACCCTCACTATACAAGTGGGTCGGGGGAGCGCAGGGGGGAAGGCCGCTGGTGCCCCCCCCCCCCCACTCATACTTTCACCTCCATTACTCCACACTAGACCACGAACGATTCAATTCAATTTATTTCTTTATTATGCACCCCATATTAAACAAGTGACAATCTTTTCAAATTCAAAAAAATGTCAAAAATTCAAATCATATATATATATATATATATATATATATATATGCGAACAAGCCTGAATGGTCCCCAGGACAATATGCAACTGAAAACTCACACCCCAGAAGTGACTCGAACCCATACTCCCAGAAGCAACGCAACTGGTATGTACAAGACGCCTTAATCCACTTGACCATCACGACCGGACATAATGAGGTGATAGCCGAGGCTATTTGAACCACCCCACCGCCGGCACTCGGATAGTAATCTTGGGCATAGCATTTTACCAAATCACCTCATTCTTTGGGGCACACGTGAGGAACACAAATGCGAACAAGCCTGAATGGTCCCCAGGACAATATGCAACTGAAAACTCACACCCCAGAAGTGACTCGAACCCATACTCCCAGAAGCAACGCAACTGGTATGTACAAGACGCCTTAATCCACTTGACCATCACGACCGGACATAATGAGGTGATAGCCGAGGCTATTTGAACCAACCCACCGCCGGCACTCGGATAGTAATCTTGGGCATAGCATTTTACCAAATCACCTCATTCTTTGGGGCACACGTGAGGAACACAAATGCGAACAAGCCTGAATGGTCCCCAGGACAATATGCAACTGAAAACTCACACCCCAGAAGTGACTCGAACCCATACTCCCAGAAGCAACGCAACTGGTATGTACAAGACGCCTTAATCCACTTGACCATCACGACCGGACATAATGAGGTGATAGCCGAGGCTATTTGAACCACCCCACCGCCGGCACTCGGATAGTAATCTTGGGCATAGCATTTTACCAAATCACCTCATTCTTTGGGGCACACGTGAGGAACACAAATGCGAACAAGCCTGAATGGTCCCCAGGACAATATGCAACGGCGGTGGGTGGTTCAAATAGCCTCGGCTATCACCTCATTTTGTCCGGTCGTGATGGTCAAGTGGATTAAGGCGTCTTGTACATACCAGTTGCGTTGCTTCTGGGAGTATGGGTTCGAGTCACTTCTGGGGTGTGAGTTTTCAGTTGCATATTGTCCTGGGGACCATTCAGGCTTGTTCGCATTTGTGTTCCTCACGTGTGCCCCAAAGA